GTTTTCTGGCTCCTGAGTTAGCAACTTACTGGAAAAAAAATTTCACGGGCTCGTACGTGAGTACCAAAAATACCCGATGTCTGGGTTTGAGCTCGTTGACTTACGTGGACGGGGAATATCCTCTTAAAACTACAGTCTTCTAGCTTTCCAGGTTCTCGAGTTAGCAACCTGCCCGAGAAGAACTTTGGCGGGCCCGTACGTAGGTAGCACGCTTACTCGGGGGATGGGTTTGAGTTCATTAATACCTACTTGGACGGGGAACATCACCCTAAGATTTCAGCATCCTAGCTTCTCAGATCCTCGAGTTATGAACTTACCCGTAAAAAACTTTGGGGGGCTCTTACGTGGGTACCACGCGAGTAATGGCACCCATTTTGGAGATTGGGGCCCGTACATGCATGTAGATTAACCCCCCAGAGTTTCTGCCTTGTAGCTTTTGTAGGTCTTGAGATGAAAAAGCGTGGCAGACACACACATACAGACAACCCCTCGTCAACATGCGTTTTCTGCATTGCATAGCTGCAAAAAACGCATAACAAACGTCATCATCGCCACCAGGTGATGTAATTCTAGTCAAAACAACAAAGAAGGTTCTCACTGTGTCATTGAAGAATCGTGTTTGGAACTAGCAATTGTCTCAGGTATTCTAGAAATATCTTTTTTTGCTCAAATCTCTCGTAAACAGTGGATTTGGAACGGCAGGCTGCGCAAAACTCATGCTGTGGACGGAGCCCTTTCTTCGAAAGGGTTTCCACCTGCCCTTCGAAAATTGTTCTGGACCGGCAAGGAATTGAACCACTTCCCTTCATGTCTGGATGCAATTTCTTACCAATACACTACTGGCCCTTGTGCTCCACTTTCAGCCCGGCAAACATCTCTACTGTGTATCTGTCCTTCAAGACAAAATATGCCTTTCTTTTCTTTTCCTTCATGGTGGCTTCTTAGCCGTCTTTTCGCGGGTTTTCCTTTAATAAAATAAACTCTATGGTTGCTACTGGGCAATGCAGCATTGATGAAAGCAACTGAGAAAGCTCATACTGGAACACTGCAGTGCAATATTTGAAACTAGCAACTGTCCCAGGCATTCCAGATGTCTTTTTTTTTGCTCACGTCTCTCATAGACTGTGGAATTGGAACGACACAGTTGTACACAGTGCATGGCAATATCGACAAGGATTCCTCCAGAC